ATGGTTGAAGCTTTCATGTTGTGTAGGGTGCGTACCCCGCCAAGTTCCGCAAACACCTGCGAATCTCGAAACTGTAAGCCCCAGCCGCAGGCCCCCACTCCGAACACCTAAACCTGAACCCCAAGCCCCAACACCCTGAACCCCCAACCCAATGCTGCCCCAGCACTAAAGCGAAGCCAAACCCAAACCTCTAGACTCGACGCCACAAAGCAAAAAACGGAGAATGGGGAGGCTGAATGCGGACTCGTAATGCCCCGGGTTATGTCAACTCCCTGCCCGCGGACGAAACCGTTCCCACAGATCCTTTGGAGCATCCTTTTGTGGAGCCCTGTATAGGAAACTTCTCTAACCCACAAGCCCTTCCTGCAGGTCCTTCACAGAAACCTTCATGGAGCCAACGACATATTCTGGAAGGGGAGGATAGAGGGACTACTGTAAGGGAGCTGTGGGGACTACCATACAGATCATTCCCAAACCCCAAACCCCAAGCCCTACACCCTAAACCCCTAAACCCTAAAAATCTGAACCCCTGAACCCCAAACCCTAAACCTGAACCGTGCGATGACGAAGAACCAGGGAATCATGCTAAGATGCCTCGGCTTCGGCTTCGGCGTTGGCGTCCCAGTAGTCATGGCACCTCATTTGGGCTGACCGAGACATGAACTCTAGACCCCCTCAAGTACCCCCTGCTATAGAGTTTAGGGTTTAGGGTTCAGGGTTTAGGGTTTAGGGTGACGTGTACGTCACTCTTAGAGACGGGACTCTTTCAAGGGATCCTAATCTGGAGAACTACCTAAGTACCCTCTCCTGTAGAGCTTCGGTTGTAGAGCTTTAGGGGTTGAATGTTTCGGGTAATAGCGTTTAGAGTTTATGGGGCCTGAATACAGACGACTAAAGACCACAAGGGCTCTATCAAGGAGAATTGGGGGGGGGTTCTTCTGTAAGGCTGTTGAGTTGTCTTGAGTTAGTTCTAGGGCCAGGTGCCTGTGGGCTTATGGGTCCTCCTGTTTCCCTGATGTAGGGGCCCTCGAGGTGTTCTGTGGGTTCTATGAGGGTTCTACATGGACTCTACAGAGGATTTCAAGATCCTATCATGCTTCATCTCCGGAGGTCTCCAAAGGTGGGATGAAGGTAGGTTTAGGGTTTAGGGTTTAGGGTTTAGGGTTTAGGGTTTAGGGAGGTGGGCTATTCCCAAGCAAGGGTCCTGAGGCCTCACACCTTAAACCCTAAACCCCAAACCCTAAAAGGGTTTAGGGTTTAGGGTTTAGGGTTCCTAAACCCTAAAACCTAAAACCTAAACCCTAAACCCTAAAACCTAAAACCCTAAACCTGAACCCTAAAACCCTAAAACCCTAAACCCTAAAACCTAAAACCTAAAACCTAAACCCTGAACCCTAAAACCTAAACCTTAAACCCTAAACCCTAATCCTCATGTGAGTTCTGCAAGGGCACCGACCCTCGGATCCGATGCAGTTTGTGCGGCGCAGAAACACGAAACAGCTTAGGGGTTCAGGGTTTAGGGGTTAGGGCTTAGTACGTGAATTCTATC